ATATGTATAATGGGAACTTTACATATGACATATATAAGCATGTAGTATTATGCTATAGGGTCACTATGAGTCAGAATCGACTCAACAGCAATGGGTTTGTTTGTTTTTTTATTATGCATGCTCAATGAATTCTTATTTTTAAATAAATAACATTCATTTTAATCACTCATATTAATGAAAGTGTTTAAAATAAATAGCTAAGTTAAAGATGAATATAAAATTCTATTTAGTTCATTTAAAAAAAAACTTTTTAGCATATTTATAGCAATTTAAATGGCTTAGTAGTAACAGCCACATTCCAAAGCTGTAATAAGCTTATCTATTTTTATAAACATGTTTTCCTTCTGCTGTTATTGTTGTTCCTTTCATCTAAGTGGAGGACCACCTGGACTCATTCCAAATGTTCTTACATTACATGTCATTGTAAGGAAATCTTTTTCCAGATAAGTTGTAAAAAACATCTATTTTTTAATGGCAGGTATTTTATCATTTCTAGCCATTTAGATTATAGGTATGGGATCCTGTTTTATATGGCACCCTGCTACTGTGGAACTTTTCTTTTAGCTGTTTTAGTTAGAAAGCTTCTGCCAAACAAAACAGTAGGAGGGAAACTATAAAAAAGCTTTAAAATGCTAAAAAAAGACATAAGTGAACAAGCAGCAATCTAAACATAAACCAGAGGACTATTCCCATGACCTATGTTCAAGAAAAAAAATATAAGAAGATGCAGAGAATTAATAGAGTACCAATTTACAGCCACACACTTTGTCTTAAGAAGTTGAAATTACTTCAGAGAATACATATAACCGTTGTACTTAAATTATTCCATGACAAATGGAATTAGACAAACCTGACGTCATAACATTTCCTCCTAAAACCAGAAAGAATGATATATTATTTCCAAAGAGAAATTAACATTATGAACGTTCTGCTGACTGAAGGCCTTTTTTGTTAGCATAAAAGCAATGAAATCATTAGAGTTACATGATGAGACAACCTCTAACTACAATTAAAAAGAAAACCAGCTCTACTCGGGCAAGCTAGATGAAGTCTAAAACACCAATGCAATTATGGAAAACTAAATTGCAAAACCAGGATACTCTCTATATTGCCCTTTGAAAAACACCTGATATGTAGTAAGTGACTGGTATAACGTTGGAAGATGAGTCTCATATTATCTTTGGTTCAGGTACACTGTTCTTTTACAGATGTTTAATGTATTTAAACCATTTTTTTTTTTTTTTGGAATACATGTACAGAGATTAGTATTAAAGCTGAAATATATAACAAATGCCTTAGTATTTAAAGGGCAAAGTGTTTTTACTCACTCAGATTGGGCCCGATCCAACATTTAAACTAAACACATACTTTAATCTTTAGGAAAAATATTGTTTATCAAAGAGAAGAAAGTTAAGTTGTGCGGAGCCCGGGATCAGTAGGTCAGTCTGCCTGTCAGTCAAGCATTTATTTCAATAACATTATTGAACACTGGTCAAGGGCCAGGTGCTCCAACTCTGGGCATTCACACACAGGGACCCATTCACATGTGTTCTTACCCATAATCTTCCCACGCCACAGGCATCACTGCTGGGATTTCCAAGATTCAGAGAGGTTGAGTCACTTGCTCAAGCCCCAGGAAAAATGTGGACAAGAACACAGTTCTAGAGACACTGCCACCTCGACACAGCCTTCCTCCAGAGGTATGTGGGTGAATTCAGTCATTTATTTGGTAATGTTTTAAGTCCAGGAAGAGTTCATTAAATCTCAATAGGTTAAGTTCTGAATTCAACTCAGGACCAAGCCGAGAATAAATCATATTATTTTATAGTCCCATCACATGTATCCACTTAACTTGAGGCCGGGAGGCATTTTCCTATTAATGCTCACAGAGTGAATTCTTTCCCTTTTGTTGTGTTCATCTTTTCTCTTAGCTAGCTGTGCAAGAAGCAGCTTGGCCTTCTGGAAAGGATTTTAGTCTCATCCTTTAAATGTCACTGGGCACATCCTAGATCACTGATCTTAGATCATACTGATCCTCGATCAGTCTGATGAGTCAATCAATCAATTTCCCATGTCCCACAGGGATAACTTCATGAAGACTTAAAGAGGAATAAAAGGGTCTAACACTCCCTTAAAATTAATGGCAGCTAGTAAAATACTAGTAGCTGTCATTTTATAAAATGACAATCTCAAGCAAATACGTCTAATCTCATCAAGCTATCCATGTCTTCCTACAGAAAGTGTCTGTGGTCTCCATTAAAACCCACTGCCATAGAGTCAATTCCGACTCATTGCGATCCCATAGGGTTTTCCAAGCTGTGATCTTCACAGAAGCAGATTACCACATCTTTCTCCTGCTGAGCAGCTAGTGGGTTCGAAGAGCTGACCTTCTGGCTAGCAGCTGAGCACTTAACCACTACACCACCAGGGCCTTCATTACACAGGACTAAATACAAGAACAAAAGTTAAGAGTCTCTTATCCATATCAGTGGATTGAAAGTAGTATGTATTGTATGTTCTGTCAGGCTGATTGATCCATTTCTCATTTCACAAGTATTTACTGAGTACTTAGTATGTACAAAGCACTGGGGATACAGTGATGAACAAGAAAACACAGTCTCTACCTTCATAAAAATAACACCTACAACATAGGAAATATATAATCGGAAAATATTTACAAAAATATATACAATAATAAACAGTGATGACTGGGATGAAGAAAAATTACAGTTTGTCTTGAGAATAAATAAAAGGAACCCTGCTATTTGAACACCTACTCTGAAAAGTGATGTATTACTACTACTGTGAGTCCTCCTGTGCCTTCTTTGGCTTCTAATGCCTTGCAATGAAAACTTTAACGTTTTAAGCCTTTTTACATCATAATGTTGTAACTTCAGACAAATGCAGAAATTGAGATGCACATAAGCAAGTACAGATAAAGTGCTATGGAAGAGTCAGGATACGTAAATAAGGAACAACAAGCAGTTTGGTTTCATTGGAGCTTCAACAAAGCAAAGACTGGTAATAGAACTAAAGCTGTACAGAGGGCCTCGGATGCCAGGCCAAAGTGTCCAGATTTTTTTCAATGAAGAGAAGGGAACCTCTCAAAAACCTGCAATGTAAGTTTGAGAAGGTTGATATTTCTGAAGATTATGTTAGATGCAATAGGTAAAATTTCTAAGGAAGGGAAAAACTGTGCTTAAGAATATCATTTAAAGTCCTGCAACAACAATTAGGCAATGAGGATTGTTTTAATTGCCTCCTGGTCACCCCATTGGTAAGGGAGGGACTTTCTCTCTAGGGTTATGGAGATGGACAAACACATGACACCTGACACAGGAGAGATGAGATCAACGGCAGTTTATTAGTCACATATACTCACAGCCTGGGGAAGACAGGTCATGCCATACAAGGCCACACTGGGGCTGCACTCAAGAACAGACAGAAAAACCAGGGGCTGTGGGAGGCAGGCTTGCAGCACACTTTGTAGTATGAAGAGGGTGAAGTGCCATCAGTTCCCTCAAGATGATGTGATTGATGTTTGAATAATTTTGTGGGCTGGCAGGGAACTGAAACCTACTACTCAGAAATAAGCAGGAACTGTGCCTGGTATCCCTGAAAAGGAGAGTTGTTTGTATAGGGAACCTTGTCCGTGGGAGCACAGTGGGGAGGAAAACTTGAGGTTAGACCACTGAAGTCCCTCCTGGCTTCACCAGATAAAGCACACAATATTGGGCCTTGATTTGAGGCTTTACACCACAAGTGTCTGGGTTATTAATGTATCACTGGGAGTTGAAATGAAGAGACAAGTAAAAACTGCACTGAGAAAGAAGAATTTTTATTAGTCAATAAATGATTAAACAGAAGATAACCTTTTGAGGATTTGAAGTCCAAAATTTCAATGGAAATAGTTGAGCTACTAGCATAAAGTAGGATGGACAATAACAGGTTTAATTTTGGATCCAATGAGTTTCAGTTGCTGATGGCACATCCAGCTGAAGCTTACAGAGATGGAAGAACTAGACATAAAGACCTGTCATCCTCCTGGAGGTGACTGCTGATGTTGGAAGGACTGCCAAAGAAAATAGTATAGGCAAAGAAAAGTACTGAAGGCAGAACTTTGGTGGAGCCTTAAACTTAGTGGTAGGAGAAAGACAGAAATAGCAGAGATAACAGAAAAAAGCAGTTGGGGAAGTAACTAAACCAGGAAAGTAGAGAATAATGGAAACCAAGGGACAAGAGTGGAAGAGCAATCAATGGAGTTAAGTGATGGGGAGAGATGGAGGGGCCTGAGGACTGAGAACAAGTTTTGGATTGGGAAGGGAGAGGATTTTATTGGCAGCTAAGTATTAATCATGTTTCAAAGACCAGAGTCAAGTCTCAGAAGTGATGAGTGCTGCCACCTGCCTGCCAACTCTGGATAAACCTGGGAGTCTAAATTACCCTTTTTGCCTTGTCTTTAATGAATATATATATATATACATACACAATATATACACATATCTCACATACATGACTCTATTGCAAATATAACTGCTAAAATGTGCAAAATAAAGAGGGTGCATATCCACATTTCTCACTAATATGGGATTCCATCGGGAAGTTATCAGGCCTTGATCACTTCCATCTAATAGATGAAAATTCTAAAACACCTGGAAACATTCGGATCATTCATAATGTCATTAAAATGGTAAATGGAGGACATGCTTCTAAATTACTATTTAAGAGGCTTAGCTTCTGCTCATAACACTGGAAAATATACTCACATAGTTTAGTATGGAGTTCCAAACAACTTTTTAGGACTTGATTTAAAATATTCCATCAAAAGGTTTTTCTTTAATCCAGATTTCAGTACATGGGCTAATATTTTATAAGAAAATAAGCATGGCAAATAATCAATTATATCAATTTAATGTCATAACATGTATCATATTGTTTACTACGTAATTCTTCTCAGAGTTGAATTGAGGATATAATTAAGGAATTATACATTTACATACCTGTGGTACCCATCTGGAGGACACAAAGCTGGTCACTTCTATTACAGACAAGCCAGTTTGGGAAAGTTTATTGATAAATTCAATTTTTATATCTGTAGGAACTATAATCTATGAAAACATAAAAAGTGATTTGATAAGTAAATTCTGTAAGGTCTACTGAAGCACAACAAAAAATTACTTCCCAACTGAAAGCAAATCCTATTTGATGATTTATAAGTTTAAGCTGCAACTGAGAGCACACATAATAATGGAGCGTATGAAATCCACGTAAGTAAAGCTTAAGAAATATTAATATTTAGACATAATCTGAAATAAATATGTAAAATTATCATCAAAATACCTTTTCATTCTGTAATCCATCCCTTGGTCCAACTTCTACTATTTTAACATACCCAGGGAGTCCAGATAACTGGGATGATTCCTGAAATACAAAATAACAAGAGCAAGAAAAACAGATCACTTTTAGATCACACTTGCTTATTTGAAGAGTTAAACAAATACACTTTGTTTCATTAAATTCTCACCCCTGAAAGTTAAAACAGTAAGAAATCAGTACAATGATATAATCTACATACAAAGTTTACATTATTGGCAACATAAAGCCATTCTTTCCTTGCAATTGAGTGATATTCAATCTACATGTGATTAAAATTCAAAGGTTAATTTTTTAAATATAACTGTGGAACAGATGATTTACCCAGGATCTAAACAGCAAATCTATTGGGTAATTCTGTATGTAATGATAAACTTAGCATTGTTTGAGTTCATTAAATAAATAGAACATCATATTAATAGACTTCTAGTAAGTACAGTCATACAAGATGCTATCCTCTATATTCTGAACTTGAGGAGTGTAGACTTGGTTATCTGGCTTGTACCCAGAAAGTTGAGACTGGAGAAGAACATGTGATATTTGTTTCATCTGTGTCAACAGCACAACTATCACCTAAACCCTACTTCCTTACGGACAGATCCCACAGTAGACTTTAATCCTTAACACCCTATTAGAAACAGTCTAGTCCTAACCCAACGTAACACCCTATCCTACCTTTAGCCCAAATTTGAGGTGACAGAGAGTCTGTGTCCTGGAACCTCTGTTCCTAAACTGGTTACTATGGACATGCCATGTTTTGATGACACTAGCTTAAAACCTGGGAAATAGGAACAGCCTTTCTAAACTTCATCTTGCAGTTAAAATCAGAAGTAGGGTAATCTTTCAAGACTTGGACCAATATAATCTTCTGGTACATTCTGAGCCGAGTTAAGTGTGGGTGCTCCATTCATCAAGTTCTTCAAATAGATCGTTGATGACATAAGTCCAAATCAACAGGACCTGTCTTTAAGGATTTTTGTGTCTTTCTTCAGGGATGATGAATTTTGACTGACTAATTCATATTGTCTCACTCTGTCCTTTTAACAGTCATTGGTGTATACTGGTGAAGCGGTTGTTTTGGATGTAGGACCCAGTTTGTGTCTACGGCACAAAAAATAAAAAAAAAATGCTCACTGGTTCTGTTAGGGTCCAGAGCAGTTATGTGACTTTATTAGGACTCTGTGCTAAGATAACAGAGCCCAGATGGTCCCTGTTACAATGTTTACTGGTCACCTCCCACAATCATCATGAAGCTGGGTAATTCAATAAACAAAAATTAACCAATAAGGAAAATAATTCTCATTTCTGTATCTTCTGAACAGGTTGTGAGGTTAACCTCAGAAGTTGCAAGGGGAGGTGGGGGGTATCTTAGCTTCAGGCTCAGTTTTGGATGACAGTAGCAGAACAATGCCTCATTTACGGAGTGGCCATAAGTTCAATGAGGCAATAAAATACTAAGGTGCCATTTGAAAAAGTTAGAGTAGATGACAGAAGGTCACTCCTCTTTCTTATTTTATCCAGTCCAAGAACGCAGAAAAGAAAACACACACACACACACACACACACACACACACACACATCTAGGGAATCTTAGGCCGTGTGGTCTTATTATCACTGTTTCCTGAAATTGCATTTTCAGCTGCAATTACCTTGGAACATAATGGATGAAGAGTACTTCTTTATTAAACAGCAATGTTCACCCAAAAAAAAAAAAAAAAGGAACATAGTGTTTTTACGGTGATAACAGCAGGTTGAATATAATTAAAGAGCTTGGGATCTTCCTTTGCATCAATTTGTTGAAGCTAGCATAATTAACAAGCAATCTGAAGAAATTATAGAACGCCAATAATCATGGCCATTTCATTGAAACCAGAATATGTGTTCACATGGTATTACTTTAGATTTATTCCTGAATCTAATGCTAATGTTTTGTCTTTCCAGATATAGGTAAATATCTGAGAAATCAGCAGAAAGTCAGAATGTGCTCAGTAAGTTCAAAGAACAACAACATCCTTTAAAAAAAAAGTGCAGAAGTAAACAAAGACAAAACTAAAACCAATTAATACATACAAGCTGGGTATCTGTGATATGACAGGCTTCTCTTGGTGAGCTTTAGTCTCTTCTTGAGCATTACTGTCTCTGTATTGACTTAACTATAGAGGTTTAGATTTACATAAACAATGTCTAGTGGTAAAATCCAACAAAATGTCACACAAGCACATAAAATCTATCGCTAGAGCTTCCTAAGTATTCTCCTTAATATCTTTCAATATCTAACAGTCAGAGAGAACTCTCAGCCTAAGGGAAACGATGCTTCATGACCAACCTCTCCTGTTACCTCTCTCCTTCATGCATCCTATGCTTTGCCAAAAAACAAACAAAAAAACCCAAACCCATTGCCATGGAGTCGGTTCCCACTTCACAACAACCCTATAGGACAGAGTAGAACTGACTCGTAGGGTTTCCAAGAAGTGACTGGTGGATTTCAACAGCTGACATTTTGGTTACCAGCCAAACACTTCACTACTGCTCTACGAGGGCTCTATCCTATTCTTTAGCCAAGCTAAAATCATGTTTCCTCACTTTCGTGTCTGTACACATGACGTTTCTGTAGCTTGGAAATACTTTTCCATTTGTAAGGAAGACAATTCACCAACTGTGTTTTGCTTCTTCGTAGACATAGAAATGGACCCCATTTTCCCTCAATCTAGGAGTTATATTTGAACGAGTTTCAGATAATGGAACATGAATGGGAATAATATGCACTACTTTTATACTTGGTCTATGAAAATATGCCATGCACACTCCTTCATGTTCCTTCCCCTTCAGCCACCTTGACTCAGATGAGTATAGCACACCAGAAGGCTAAATGATAAAGATGACAGAGACAAAAACTGGAAGACTCTTACATCCCTGAATCATTGCTTGAATAAGAATTTACTGTCAATAAGAAGCAATCAGTTCTTATTACAGGAGTAAATAAATTTCAACACTTTTAGACTTAAGATTAAAAAAAAAAACAACCAAACCTGGCGCAGTCTAGTAGATTCCAACTCATAGCAACCCTGTAACAACCCTATAGGACAGAGTAGAACTGCCCCATAGGGCTTCCAAGGAACATCTTATGGATTCCAACTGCTGACTTTTTTTGGTTAGCAGCCAAGCTCTTAACCACTGCACCACCAGGGATTAGAATTTTATATTTTATAGATATTGGTTGTCAAGAACAGTGAACGGAGGACTTCTGGGCAACATGGCACTATAGACAGAAGCCCCATGCTGTCCCTCCACAGCAAAGATCCAAAAAACTAAGTCAAACAGAGACAAATGTCAATCCTGACACCCTAAGCATCAAATGAAGAGATAAAAAACTCAGCCAAGCACTGAATGGAATAAGAAACTGACCAAGAACAGAGAGCGAGGAGAGATACATGCAGAGGTCCCCTATCAGCTAACGTAGCATGGATTTGCCATCTTGCACTCCTGCAGGAGATCAAAAAACAGGGAGAACAGGAAAGCAGCTTCATGCAGCTCCCACCAGGAGACAGAACAACCAGTAACCAGCAATATAAGCTTTCCTACCCCATGCCCTTCTTCACCCTCACTCAGCCTCCTCTGCTTCCTGCAGCCACAGTCTCTTCGCCAGGAAGCATGAGATTCACCTCTGTGCCAGTTGGATTCTACCTGCCCACATTGGCAGGCTCCCTGAGTGCCATTTGTTGGCTGCTGGTGTTGCTTTTTTCCACTTCCTTCAGTTTCTTCCATACCTCTCACCACATCCCCCTCCTTTCTTTCAAATACCTGGCTCCATATGCCATCTTTGCTTCTTCCTGAAACACTGTAAAATGCCATTCAACTGTGCAACTGCTTCCCAGCCATGCCACCACGCTGATGGGACCCCCGGGGCTTTTGTTTGTTTGTATGTTTTGATTTGTTTGTTTTCTTTTTCTTTTCTCGGATTGGGAGCCCCTTCTAGCTGGGTGGTACTGTGTGGCTTTGGAGCTACTCCCTCAGTCTGAGCAGTTAGGCAGTGGGATCCTTGGGGGCATTTCTTTTCTTCTTTTGGTTTTGTTTTTTGTGTTTGTCTTCTTTTCTCTCTTTTTTCCCTTTTTGTCTTTATTTCTTAGTTTCTCATCTTTCTATACTTATATTTCTCTTCCTGTCTACTGAATACCTAGTGCTCTGCCCCTTCTAAACAGGCTGTACTTAAGAGCCTGGGAGCAACTTCCCCAGTCCTTGCAGATGCATCGGTGGGGTCCCTGGGGGATTTTCTTTTTTTTTTTTTTTTCTCCTAATTTTTGTTTATTCATTTTTATCTTTTACCCCCTTCTATTTTTTTTCCTTTTTGTTTTTCTCAGTTTCTTAGTCTCACCTCTACACTTCAATGGCAACCCCCCTTAGCACTCTTTATTGTTTGTTTCTATGTTTTTGGCTCCTATTCCTCTCTCCTCTCTCTCCTCTTTCCCATGCCTGTCTTAGCTCCACACATCACAATCTTCTCCCTCACTCCTGCCTACCTGTACTATATGCTGAACATCACACTCCCAAGCAGCACAGGCACAGCCTAATGGAACCTGCCCTGCAATGATTCCTGGCCTGCCCTGTCGGCCCTAGTACGTGCCACAAACAACACATCCAAGCAACTCCCCTTCAGCTGGACCTGCCCTACTGTATCATACCTGAGCGACTAACCCTGCCCATTGGAGAAAGAGATGAAAAGTGTCATGCCCACAGACAAGCAAACAACAAAGAACACACAACCCGCCTGCTCAGACATAACCAACTAAAAGAAAAAAAGCAGGAAGAAACAAACAAATCTACAATCAATAAATGAGGACTACAACTACTGAATGTCCCAAAGACCGCAGACATTATCAAAACATATTAAAAAAACAGGACAGGATGGTTCCAGTAGGTGTCCAAAATAAAACAGCAGATGACTTTACAGTAGAAGGAAAAACACTAGAACTACCTGATAGGGAATTCAAATCTCTAATATTCAGAGTTAATCAAGAGTTGAAGCAAAAACCAGACAAAAATTAGGAAAA